CCAAGTAGCCAGGACTAAGGGAGAGCCATGATCCTTCTCCCAATTTAAACCGTTCACTAGAGGCTTGTCAGGAGGACCACAGCAAACCCTGGCAGAAAGAGCTACCTATCCCAGTCTGCACACAGAGCAGATAACCTGACGTGTAGTGAACAAAGTCCTCAACCATGCCCAAGCGGCTGGGAGGCATCCTGATTCTCTCTCAGCTACACGGAAAGGCCCACAGTGCAGGCCTCCTCAAATCCCAGTATCAGCAATTCTTCCAGGATGTTGCAATAGTTTGAAGTAAGCATGCGCCACTTTTAGATTCAGAAAATAATTTAGAAAAATAAATGTTTTTAATTAAAGAAGCATATAGCAAGCAGTAGCCATTGCAGCCTGGTGTTCACTTGGATACGGACCCTCAGCTCCAAGAGAAGGCTCTGCCGAGTCTTGCAGTTTTTGTGAGACTGAAGCGTGAATATCGGGGGAGAGACAAGGCAAAGACAGGCTATTCGGAGACCTGGTCAAGGAATTTGTACCACTTTGATGGTGAAGCTCCAGGTGTTCACTCTAAAAAGCACAGGTGAGCCGAAACCAGTGTGGCTCAGTGGTAGAGCGTCGGTCTGCGGACGGAAAGGTCCCGGGTTCGATTCCGGTCAAGGGCATGTACCTGGGTTGTGGGCACATCCCCAGTGGGGGGTGTGCAGGAGGCAGCTGGTCGATGTTTCTCTCTCATCGACGTTTCTAGCTCTCTCTCTCTCTCCCTTCTTCCTCTCTGTGAAAAATCAATAAAATATATTTAAAAAATAAAAAAATAAATAAAAAGCACAGGTGAGGCGTGGCCAGTGTGACTCAGTTGGCCGAGCATCTTCCCATGAACCAAGAAATTGCTGGTTCAATTCCCAGTCAGGGCACATGCTCAGTTAGGAGCTCAATCCCCAGTGGGGAACATGCAGGAGGCAGATGAAGGATGGTTCTCTCTCATCTCTCTCTCTCTCTTTCTCTCTCCCCCTACCCTCCTCTCTCTAAAATCCATGAAAACGCATATTTTAAGTCAATATCTTAAATAAATAAAAAGTACTGATGGATGGAGATGCTCATTAGTCATTTTGCACATTGAACTTGAGTTTATCATTATAAATAATTCGCACCCTCATCACTTGCTCCATACTTTATGCCCAGTGCCTAGAACAGTGTCTGGTGAGAAACAAGTTCTTACTGAATAAACTATGCACTTCCTCGAGATGCCAGACAAAAGGGGAGTCTACAGATATGCTGAGGGTGTCCTGTCAATTCCTTCCCCAGCTGGGCCTTACCCACAATGCCCCAGCATTGAGACTTTCTCACCGGTGACCATGAGACAGGTGGAAAAAAGGCCCAGATGAGAAGGCTAAACCCCTCAGCCATGCATCAAGAAACACAAATTAAAAATTGAAAAGGGAGCCCAGTCCATGTTGCTCAGTGGATGGAGCATCATCCCACGCACCAAGAGGTCACCGGTTCAATTCTGGGTCAGGGCACATGCCTTGGTTGCAGGCTCAATCTCCAGTAGGGGACGTGCAGGAGGCAAACAATCGATGTTTCTATCTCTCCCTTCTCCTTTCTCTCTAAAAAAATAATAATAAAGTAAAATAATAAAAAATAAATAAATAAAATAAAAACGAATCTTTTTTTTGTTTAAATTGAAAAGGGAAACTGAACAGCCGGTGTCTAGTCTTGCTTTTAGTCCTGTTGTTGGAAGGATGACGTGCAGACAGCTCAAGACAAACACAGCCTGCTTTCCAAATGGGCAGAGCTGCTTTCTTGGTGCACTGAGCCTTCCGTGTGCATTTCTTTGCTCACAGCAAGGACATGCCTGTCCCAGAGGGCAGGCCTCCTCTGGACTGAGGTACCAGCTTTTGGTGCGGGGACCTGCTCGCTCTCAGGGCACCAGAGCAGCCTGGACAGGGTTTTCTCCAAGGAGACCTTCGGAGAGCAGCTGGCTTCCCGGGCAAGGAGGCCTGGGCAGCCTGTGCATGGCCACGCAAATGTGCAGAGAACCCAGCCAAGTAGCCTTAGGACCTAATTGGCTCGGAGACAGGAAAGTCAAAATGTCACAGCCAAAGCGACAGCTGGCAGTGGCTTAGAGAAGAAGAGGCATTATCTTCCACTCGGAAGTAATGACACAGAAAGGGCACCGCACCGGGCATCTGAGGCCTGCGCCCACCGGGCGGGAGGCTGGTGTTCTTGGCAGGTCGCTGCCTGTCCTGTGCCTTGCTTTCCTCCACTATAAAATGGAAATAAACTCACTGCTAGGCCTGGCTTGCTTGCTTCCTCGTAATAAACCCGTACAACACCACCAAACGGGAGACGCAAAAGCTAGGACAAGGTCCTTACCCTTCAATCTGATCCTAACGTACAGGGTCTCGTGTTTGCCCAGCTCACAAGTCGCTCCTGCGGCTGCCAGTGGTAGTATCCAGGTGGATGCTGGGTGTGCTTGGCTTGTGATCCCACTTCTACAATGTCCCCCACACCCGCCTTCCTGCCTCCATGGGTTTGTGTCAGATCAGGCCTTGCTTCTCTCCAGCTCCATCCTCTAAGTCCAGTCACAGTGCCGGGAGCTCATCATCCCAACTGACCTCCCACCTCTGAGCTCCTGCCTCCCCAATTCTGTCTCCATTTGTCCACTAGCTCTCTCTGCACAACCATCGACCAAGATATCCTTCCCTCAAAATCTCCTTTTCTTCAAAATTCTATCCAAGGTCTTCTGCTTGGCATGTGAAGCATGGACAAGCTGTCCCAGCCCACCTCCCAGGCTCACTTCCCCTCGGGGGCCTTTGTGTTTGCAGCCCATGGGTCTCCTTCCACCAATGCAGCCCTCTTCCCTGCTCCTGAGCTCCTCCTCTCTGCTTTGATGTTCAAGATCCTGACTCGCATTTCAAAGCTCAGCTCAAATGCTCTCTGTTTTATTCGGGATTCTCAGGTATTTTCAGCTTCAGGCCCACTAGGCGGTTCCTTCTTGTTTTCAAGCTCATGTACATTTTTATTTTCCTATCACAGTGTGCTCGGTACATCTTGAAGTGGAAGTTTCAGTTCAAAGGTTTCCCTCCCTGTGATGGCCTTCGTGATCTTCCCAGTTCTCCATACTCGGCTCCCCCACCCAACACGCACTCCTGCAGCCCTCATAGCAAGTCTCCTCCAGACATCCCATCACTGACTCCCATCCACAATGGGAGCGAACAGTCCTTGCTCTCCAGAGGCGGAAAGGAACACCCTGAGTCGATGCTCCGTAACTCCTGGCGGATGCTGATGAAGATCACCATAACCATCTGCAATGGCACCGGAGCTGTGGGTGCTGCACATCTGTGTGACCGAACTGCCTGCCGCTCCTCACCCACCGTCAGCACCAGACACCTAGAAGGCGCTGCCTCCATGTCGGCCCACATCCGTGCCCAGACCCAGAATTCAGCGTCTGTACGTTTCACCCGTAGAATCCACTCACACACAAGCATGAGAGAGCAATGGAGACAACAGGAGAGCTGGGCAGGGGTCGGGGGAGACAAGGGTGGTGGTTACAGAGCACAGCCCACAGCCATGCCATCATCAGGACTTCCTCAGACACGCAGTGCGGCCAGGTTTTCCTGGACCGTGCCCTCTCTCTCTTCCTCCACACAGCAACTGCCTCGCTCATTTCTCTCTCCTCTTTCCTCCAAAATCTCAGCTTTAAATCTCTCTCCTTTTTGCTACCAGTTGGCATCAGCCACGGTTTTATATCCAGACCTTTAGAAGGCTCAGCTCATGAGGGGTCCCTCAACTAGCAGAGCCCCGTCCTCCCTGAAGGCTACTTGGCCACCACCTCTGTCACTCAGGCATGGCATTCAGTGTCTCACTCCTTCCCTCAAGCTGTTTGCAAGCAGAGGTCCCAAACAGGAAGTAGCATTCTCCCCAAGAAAGATTCAACGGGTGACATGTTCACCACCCCCCTCCATCTGCAGTCACCTCCTCGCTGAGTTTTTGCCATGGAATGCCAGGGGACATACCGTCCACTTTCCAGCATCCCTGCCTGATCTCCGATCCACACGGCCGTCGGGACATCCCTGCTCACTGTCTAGGAGCCAAGTGACTTGTGACCAAGCCCTGGTCTCCGGACCAGGAAGGGCAGCCCATATGAAACAGCTTCCAAAATTATAAGAAGTTATTTGGAATGCAATCCTTCTCAGCAGAACTCCTCACCAGAGCAGACCCAGGAAAGCCAGTGGGCAGGGCTACCCCAGGAAAAGGTCCACATGTATCTGGAGCATGGCCTGGCCAATGACCAATTTGTTCGTCTAGGACTTTTCTTGCCTTTGCCCTGAAAGATCCATGCCCAAAGTCCCCCTCACTCCCAAGCAAACTGGGCTGGTTGGTCACTGTAGGCTTGTCCCACCTGTGATCCTTGCTAAGAACCAGAGGTCACAAGGCCAGTCAGTGAAGCCAAGCTCCATACGTGCAGATCAGAGAGAAAGCAGGACATGCGCAGAGATGTGACAGGATGGACCCTGCCTGCAGACAGGGCAGGAGACAGCCTCGTCAGGAAACCACAGGAGCAATGACCCAGGAGGCTGCCAGGGAGTTTCATCAGAGTGAGTGAGGATCTCCCCCATGGGCAGGACCTAGATACCACAGGGCAGGAGGGCAGGAGGGCAGAGACTCTGAGCAGTCAGAGGAAAACAACAACATCCCAAGAGGCCAGCAAACTCACACACACACACACACACACACACACACACACACACACACACACACACACTCAGAATTCCCTGAATCCCTCCCCAACAGGCCCTCTGTGCCCCCAGACAATGGCCCACTCTGCAGACCATGGGCTCAGATGAGAATGAACCCAGCCTCTCCGCCAGGACCAGAAACAAGCACTCGCTTTTCCCCCCACCCACCCATCACCAGGGGCCTGGAGACGACCCCAGGAAACATCACATCCCTGTCAGCAAAGGGATTGTGGGCCAGGCAGCGGGCCTCCTCGAGGGAGGAGGCGGTTGAGGACTCACCAGGACTCGGCCGGTCAGTGTCTGGGCAGAGATCATCACCCCCGCCCAGTCCTTCACGGAGGTCATCCAGCCGACCTCGGCTGCCACCACCTCCTCTTTCTCGTCCGCGGGCTTGAGAGTGCCATCAGCCTGGCTGGAGCCATTGTTAATCTTCTGGGCCTCCTGGCAACAGAGAGAACAAGGGTTGAGACATGTTAAAAAGATGGCCAACCTCAAAAGGTCAACTGGCTTGGAGGTTCAGGGGTAGGGAGGAAGGAATGGGTTGTGGTTTTAATCAGTTTTTAAATCTTTTTTAAAGAATCTTTTATTTATTCTTAAATTATTTGTGAAAGAAAAAATGACAGTACAGCTCAGGAGGAAAGGCATCTTGACTGGGGTCTCTCTCCACCTGCCCAACCTCCGTGCCCTTCTTACGAGAGTGCCCAGCCTTTTCCTTAAGGAACCCCCATTTCCTCATCTCCATCTGAGTGGTTCAGAAGGGGCTGATAGACCCACATTGGCCCCGAGAACTGAGACCGGTCGATCACATCATTCCATCCCCCTAACAGTGACTGGGTCACAGATGGTCACAGGATCCACACCAACCCCATATAAGTCCAGCCCAGGAGTTCCGCTGGGAAAAGCAGAAAAGGTAATCCTGCCCTGAGAATGAAGGCAGCGCAGAAAAGGGATAAAACACTGATGTCACCATTTGAACACCTGAATCCAGCTGTGCCTGAACTCCACCCCAGACCCTTTCCCTCACCGGAGACAATAAATTCCCCTTCATGTCCTCAGAGGTGCTTTGAGGAAACAAGGCTGGCGTCCTCAGACAACGGAGCCCCGCCCTGGGCCCTAAACTGAACTCTTGTGCCTGCAATGTGTCCTCTCTGCCCACAAACATCTGCTCCCACAAAGGGTCACAGCTTGCTCCCTCCTTCAAGGCTTTGCTTACATATCACCTTTCTAATAAAGGTCTTCTCTGGCTAGTCTTTTAAAACTACAACCCTGCCTTCCCTACAGCACAGCCGCTCTGCTTTATTTTTCTCCACAGCGTCAAAACCTCTAATACACTCTATAATTCACTTACTTCATTTGCTATCTGCCTTCCCCAACTGTTGTAATTAATGCCTAAATGAGTGCCTGGCAAACAGTAGGCTCAATAAACATGCAAGAAGGAAGGAAGGAAGGAAGGAAGGAAGGAAGGAAGGAAGGAAGGAAGGAAGGAGGGAGGGAGGGAGGGAGGGAGGGAGGGAGGGAGGGAGGGAGGGAGGGAGGGAGGGAGGGAGGGAGGGAGGTAAGGAGGGAGGTAAGGAGGGAGGAAGGAGGGAGGGAGGGAGGTAAGGAGGGAGGAAGGAGGGAGGGAGGGAGGGAGGGAGGGAGGGAGGGAGGGAGGGAGGGAGGGAGGTAAGGAGGTAAGGAGGGAGGAAGGAGGGAGGGAGGGAGGGAGGTAAGGAGGTAAGGAAGGAAGGAAGGAAGGGCATTGATATCGTATTAGTGAGTGCTTCCCTGCCTACCCCATTGAAAACGACAGCCACCCCACCCTGAATCACTCACATCCACGCTCTTATCTCCTCAGAGCGTTCATACCACCACCTGGAAGCTGCACACTTTAGCTATCATTCACTGCCTGTAACCTCAATGAGAGAACACAATTGTCTCCTGTTCACTGCTGTGTCCTCAACACTGACACGTTATGAGCTCAGAGTAAGCACTTGACACATCTTAGTGAAAGTTGGGAGGGAGGGAAAGAGGGAGGGAGGGAGGAAAAGAGGGAGGTCAACTCTTGGCCGGCACAACCCCTAGAATGAGTGATTATCAATAAGTAGTGATGATAACAGCACTGGCTGCCATTTCTGAGCAGCAGCACAGGAACTGTGAGGAGGTAAGAGCTCATTCAATGGCCATGAGGAGTAAGTAGCTGGCTCAGGAGGCTCAGCCGGAATTTAAAGCCAGCTGTCTGACACCAAGAAGAGACAAGTACCTGTCCTGACATTCTCCTGGGGACGGCAGGAGGAGCAAACGGGATAATGTGTGTGGAGGACAGGCTGCTGTGAGTGCCCATGGGAAGTTTAGTACCATAAACCTTAGGCACTCAATTCACTCCACGCAGTCTGGGTATCTCATATACCACAAAGACCCTTCCTCAAGGTCCCTGGGCCTTGAGAGGGAGGTTACATCAAGGACAGAGAATCACTGTTTCTTTCTCTGCCAAGAACCAGCTCAGAACCATAAATCACCCTTCCTGGAGCAGAGCATTGAGCTGGAAATGAACGTGGCCAAGTAGACAGGCCGTGAAGCCCTCCTGCTGAGCACGGAGGTCCCCCATGCAGATGCCAGCCAAGGAGAAGAGGCAGCCCCCCTGGGTGCTGCCCACATCCCAGGGGCTATATCGCCTGCCCTCTCGGCCCACCGCCCTGAGAGTCTGCTAGGAACAGCCCCGCCCCCTCCGCCAATACCTCTGGGGCAGATAAGAGACCACCAGGGACACTTCCATCTCTGGAAGCCCATGCCTGGACCCTCCACTTTATGGCCTTGGTACCACCAAACATACGAGATGCTCCATTTCCAGGGGGCTGTTGGGGGGAAAAAGGACCCAGGAAATCTCCACCTGTCCTCTTCTTGTGTCTTATTTTGTCCTGGTTGAGGTCAGAAAGCCATTCCCCCTGAGTCTGCACTGACAGATTCTGCTTCTGAGTTATTGTCTTCTTTCTTCCTGGAACCCCCATCCTCATTCCACCCCCTTGCCCTGCCCTCTCTCATCTGTCACAACTGACCCAGCAGCCCTGCATGCGGTTGCCCAGAGCTCAGTACCAAGCAGCAGAGCCTTGCTCTCCTATCGGAGGGATGGCAGAGGTGGAGAGCTCTGGGCTGGCCTGTCTCCGTTCTTTAAGCACTGGCTCCTCATTCTGGTCTGGGTGGCTGCCCCCGCTCTGATCTGCGCTGCGAAGTTCCCACCCAGGGAAGGTTTGTGCTAAACCACTTCTCTGTGACAGGGTTTCTGTGGGAGGGGGAAAAAACGAGTTTGAAATCCATTCAGTACAAATCCATAGGCCCAGTTTGGCTCTGAGAAGATGCTTTATTTCCTGGCAATGGTGATGACATTCTGTGGCACAGCTGGCCTAAGACAGAAATGCCTGAACTGCAATACCCACAAACCACCGGGGCTTCCAGTGCCTCCAGGTGGGCCACTGTCCTGGTCCCTCTGCCCCGGGTCTTCACTGGGCCGAAACGCTGGAGAAGGGTCCTCCAGCCACCCCCACTCCTGCCAGTAGGCCAAGAGGAAATGCCCTGGCAGCCCCTCGCACACCTGGCCGGGGATCCTCCAGGGTACCGAAAATCCTGCGTATTAGGGATTAGTCCGATTACCTTAAGCAGCTCAAGCAAATAAAGCATAATGTGGGCACCACCTGCTGGGATTTTCCTGTGAGAGTGCAGCAAAGGGAGAGGAGGGAGGAGGGGATGGCTCTGACACCTAGGGGCGGGGCAAGCAGGACAGCAGAGTGAGAAGGCTCCACCCAGAGTCCTAAGGTTCTCTCTGCTAGGAGCTCCCTGAGCTGCTGCAAGAACAACTGCCCTTCATCAGTCTTTGTGCGAGGAAAAAGGTGACAGTGGAAAAGGCCAGCTGACCTTTAACAAGTCGCTTACCATCTTTGCTGTGCCTCAGGTTTCCTTGTCTCAAATTCAAGGGGCTGTGCAAACACTCCCCAAGGCTCTGTCCGGCCTGACCTTGAGGTCTGAAGTGTAAGTCCCTCACTAACACGTGTCTGGCGGTGTGAAATGCTTGGGGCGGGCAGTGCGCCGATGGGCCACGTTCTGGGCCACGTTTTCTCTGCTTGGTGCTTTAGCACCATCTTACACGTCTGAAAGGCAGCACTGCTAGGAGGCCCACAGACGTCTGGTCATATCCAAGGTCACTCATCTTGTTGGTGGCAGAGCTGAAATTTAAACCCAGTCTATTCTGAGACTGAAGGCCACGTTTTTCTTCTGTTCCTTACTGCCTTGGGATAGGCAAAAAGTGCAAGAAGAGAAGGGATCTCCTTATGAAATGCTGCTGAAGCAATCACCCTATGGGCTTCTAAGTAACTGCACTACAGACATCTCAATCTGGATAGCCAGGAATGGGCAGGGAGCTGGAGAAATGGCCTAGATGTATTGGACTAGAATGGGATGACCCATTAGACATAATATCCATGGGAGGTGTTCATCAATGGCCACATGTCAACCCCACACTTTCAGAATCAACACATACATCTCAGTTAATACTGCCCAGCCTGTGTGCCTCAGTGGTTGAGCATCAACCTAAGAACCAGGAGGTCACTGTTCAATTCCCATTTGGGGCATACGTCTGGCTCTCGGGCTTTATCCCCAATGTGGGGCATGCAGGAGGCAGCCCATCAATGATTCTCTCTCATCATTGATGTTTCTATCTCTCCCCCTCTCCCTTCCTCTCTGAAATCAGTAAAAAAATATTTTTAAAAAAATACCTCACCTCTGAAAAATTATTTCCTTTTCCTTCAATCAGCTTAATGAAATGGCAACATAAAATGATAATCCAGAGGGCCTTAGAGACTTAGAATGGGACTAGCAGAGACCTCAGCGCTGCTCCCTCAGCCAGTGTGGCCTGGGCTGGGCCCTGTCATCCTGCTCACCGGTGAAGATGCCGTGGCTCTGCTGCTTGTCTGCAGAGCAGCCTGACCTGCCCGCAGAGAGCAGCTCAGAAACTGCCCAGGCAAGAAAACCATCACAGCGGACCGGTCGGGAGACAAAGAGCACACGTGTTTTCCAGTGGAGCAATAACTTGTAATCGCACCAGGCAACTGTGAGGCAGGGCCGGAAATTCAGGTGGATTACTAATGGGTATACTTTTCTGAATGCCCTGTGTTATCTTAGTTAATCTTGTCTACAGTACCGCACATTAGGCTCCATTATCCCCATTCTGAAGATGGACAACTGAGGCAGGAAGGCTTTCTGAAGATCCATGGTTAGCCCGTGGCTTTCCTGAGGCCCCGGGAGCTCCATACCAACTTTTCATGGAAAGGTGATTTAGTATAACTTCTTGTTTCAAGGAGAGCACTCAAACCCTTCCAAAAGAAGTTTTTAAAAAAGGAAATAAATTTCAGAGTCACAGATCTGTTGAGGTCAGAGCTGTGAGAGGCCTAAGAACTTGTGTGGTCGATTCC